CATCCCTCCTTCTACTACTTTCGAAAATGCACCCGTTTGTAAGGGAGTGTCAAATCTCCCTTGTCATTAATTATCCAACCGTTAATTATTGGATCATACATTTTTTGTATCTTGACTCAGAAATAAACCAAGACAAATTCACACTCGGTATTAGTAAGAATACAAAAACCAAAAGGCTATGTATTTTGTTGGTGTAATGAAAGACTCGTAATGTCAAATCCTATTTCTCATGTATTTTGCTTGTGTAATATTCTTAAATGGAAGGAAGAACAAGCATAAGCAACTTCACCCTCTTTAAATTCGCCTTGACATAGACATTATGTTTAAGCGAAAATATAACAATCGAAAATAAAAATTTTTAATCGCGAAAATTTAATTTAATTATTAATATTTACTTTTTGAGCGATGCCTAGATTAAATAAGAATTTATTATTAATTTAGATTTCTATAAAAGTTGATCGCTCTTTTCGAAATCACGGCAGAATCGCAAAGAGTTCCTAAAAACCTCTCTGTACATATACAGAAATCTTACATGCGATAAGTGGAAGTCTTTAATTTTTTTCTTTGAAAAAACCATAAAAAAATAATTATTTTCGAACTCCTCTACAACCCACGTACATATACGAGGTGTGTTCAAAAAATATCGCGAATTTTGTGTTTTTTCAAAAATTATTTATTTATTTATGTATATCTATAGTGGTCCCCTTCAAAGTAATCTCCATGAGATATAATACACTTGTACCAACGGTTTTTCCAATCTTCGAAGTACTTCAAAAAATCATTTATTTTTATCTTGTTCAGTTCCTCCTTCGATGCGGTGTTTATCTCGTCAATCGTAGCGTAACGTCGTCCTTTCATGAGCCTCTTCAGTTGAGGGAACAAGAGAAACTCACAGGGGGCCAGATCTGGGGAATACGGTGGCTGCGGCATCATTAGTGTGTTGTTTTTGGCCAAAAAGTCGCGCACAAGCAACGATGTGTGAGCAGGGGCGTTATCGTGATGCAAAAGCCAATTTTTGTTCTTCCACAAATCCGGGCGTTTCTGGCGGATTGCTTAGCGCGAATTGTGCATAACCTGCAGGTAATATTCCTTGTTGACCGTTCTACCCTGTGGCAATACCATTTTCTCGACTTCATTAATTTTTTCGTCTGTTGTTGAAGTGCTCGGGCGTCCGGCACGCTCTTCGTCGTTCACATCTTCTCGGCCTTCTGGGAACAATTTGTACCACCGATAAACGTTGCTTTGATCCAAGGTAGCTACTCCGTATACCACAGTCAACAATCGAAATGCAATCGCAACCTCAATTTCGTTTTTCACACAAAATTTGATACAGGTTCTTTGATCCATTTTTTTGAATAGGTAAAAATCGAAGACCATCCAAAACACGTGCAAGCAAAGCAGCTGTCAACAATTATATGAACATTCAAAATGGCCGTGCTTGTCGGCATAAGTGACAGACATGAGTACCAACATAACGCCACAAAAAAATCGAAATTCGATTATACGTAATCCGCGAAAATTCAAAATTCGCGATACTTTTTGAACACACCTCGTACATACAAATCATCTACAATTACATAACCTGAACTGTTACGTGTCGATACCGCGAGCCGCATTTAATATTAAACGCTTAGCTGCTATCACCATAAGTCTCTCTAATTAATTATTTAATGTCTCTTATCCAATATTAGACACGACTGTGGCAAATTTATGTATTAATAAAGCACAGAAACTTTCATTATTTTCATTATTTCGAATGCCAACAAACATTTTAATTAAGAGTATTTAGCAGATAAGACATGACTCAAGTATTTAATACGTAGTTGCGGTTTTAGAATCTCTTGTGGGTTTCATAACCGATTTAGAGCTTCTGGGAAACTTATAAATACAGACGTGCCTTGCAATGATGTCATGTGGTATTATGTATTACTTAAGCTTTGGCTGCAATCACAACGAGCTTTTTGCTTAAAGAGCGCAAGCACGAGTGATGGCTGATAAGTTCGCGACCTAAGGTGGTTGGAGATAATACTAATTGCGGGTCTTATTAACATTTTCTTCATGGAGCAAGCAACAACACTATATCAACGGAAACTGGATTAAATTTCTTGTAAAAAAAGGAAGTACGGTGAAAGACATTTTTAAAGAGAAGTCATCAGGAACGATGATAAAAAAATGGGAACATCTGTTTCAAAAAGTAAGAAACCTCTGAAGATCACCACCACTCCGTGACAGTCGTGACCGCAGCAAATGTTCAAAAAGTCGAAAAATTAATACTGGCTAACCGAAGAGTTAAATTGTAGCAGATAACAGTAGGATTATGAATGAGCAAAGAACGAACCTTGAAGATTTTGCAGGATCATTTTGATATGAAAAAAATTATTGCGCGTTGGGTACCACGAATACGAACGCCACTTGACCAGCAGCGTTGATTGGAGAGTTGTAAAGATTTTTTGGTTGAAACTTGTAACCGTCAGTATGATCCCGAGTCCAAACAGCAGCCAATTCGATAGTTAGAAGAAAGGAAAGGCGCAAAAAAAATTTAAAATGGCATAGAAACTGCGTCGAAGCTTATGTCTACCAATTTCAGGGTTTGGAATATTATTAATTGATTACTAGCCAAAGGGCATTGAATGAGCCAGGCAGCCATATAGAAGAGACATGGCAACTTAGCGCGCGTAGTGCTGTTTCTTCAAGACCACGCACTCGTTCAAACCGCTTGGGTTGTGTGGGATCCCTTAAAGGCGACTGGATTAACAGAAATTGACAATCAAACCCACAGTCAGTACCTGGTTCCCAGTGATTTTTTCTTTTTTTTAAGTTTAAAAAAGGAATTACGAGCACGATGATTTTGATTTTCAGTTGACAGAGAGATGAAAGTGGGCGTGGAAAATAATTTTGAAGTGAAATCTAAAGTTAATCGCCACTCGTACTGGGTACCAGGTCTTGCGCTCATTTTGGATAAAGTCGAAATTTATGAAGTAGCAAAGTGTCATTGAGTAAAGAAGTTCAACCGGAATGCTGGAACACCAGTTCCAACGCCAAGCTACTCAGTAGCATAAAATAGTTACTAGGATTCTATAATATATGTAAAGGGTGTTTTTTTTAGACGTGTAGTTTTTAGGACGAAATATCTGCTGCCATCAAGCAAACAGTCGCTTTTGTTAGCCATAATTTCGAAGTCGTCACAATTCATCTGTCTTGGGACCAGCATCAACACCAATATTTATAATGTCAAACTTGAAATATAAGCAGAATCGTCCTTGCCAATATTTGCTACTTTGGACTGAGTAGGGAATGGCAAAGTGAAATCTTTTTTCGATGAACGAAAATCACACTCTACAAGTCACTCATCATTCCCGTCCTACTATATGTTGCAGCCGCTGGGACGAGGTCAACATTCGATGAATCTGCTTTGGTAGTTTAGATTTATGGTCCTTTGCCTATTAGCTGCGGCGATTACCGCTGACGGCGGAACGATGAGCTACAGGGATTATGCGATATCATCGACATAGTTCAGGGAATGAAGAGACAGCGGCTAGGTTATGTCGTCCGATTGAATGAAAGCCTACCAACTCGTGGAAGTAGAGAAAGAGGAAGATCTTCATTTTATGTAGGAAATTCCAGCTGTAAATTCGTTGATTCGGCTATAATCGCGTAAGCTCTGCCCACGCTAATGAAGAATAAATTCCAGTCGAGAGGCGCAATTTTCGACCATCTAATGCAATATATGCCCACTGAAGGAGCAATAACGCACCGAAAATTCTCTTCCAAGGCGTCTCTGGTCTCGGTTTCAACTGCATAGGCAAGCGACAACACGTAACCCCACTGAAGAACATTCCAGCCTTGTTAAATCCCACGTTCCAGGAAGTCACGCAAAAATTCCACTAAGCAAGAAAATACGCTCAAGAAAACTTTCGTTCACTAAATTAATTGTTTTGCTAGGTGCATGGCTGCGAAGCGTCAAGTTGTTGGAACCAAAGTTCGTCCCCATCAACAGCCTCCACCGAATCAGGCACGGAAATGTTATTAAACATGGCTCTATAGGGTCCCCCAAATCCTTGCGACACAACATGGCCAGCTTAATTTTTGAAAAAATATAGACCACTGATCCGCTCGGCTCACAGAGCCACAGAGCACACTAGGTAGTGACCTTTTGGGAATGTAACGGCGTCTCAACAATGGCTTGACGAATATCCTCACTCCAACCCCAACAAGTTTGTTCATTAGCTAATCCATTCAACCAAGGCTGGGCCTCATAGCTGAATAAGATTTTCTTGTAATAAGCGGTATCGGCGTCCATCAGGTTTAAGGACCATTCATCGAACGTGCGACCCGCTTGATGAATGCTCGCCTTCAATTCGTGCATGAGCTGGGTTTTGTAAGTCCGCAAGCCAAGTTTCTTCGACAAAATCTTCCAAAAAGAGGCTGGACACAGCTCTAAATGCTGTGCGAGATGGCGTGTGCCCTCATTGGGGACTTCTTCGATACTCTGTTCACAGCAGCCATAACGTCTTCGGTGCATACTCGTACTTTATGGCATCTCGGACGAGGCGAATTATCAATTGGAGTAATCTTGGTGTGAAAGCGATCAATGGTCGCTCGAATTATAGGCTCTGCTAGGCGCGTTACTCGAACCGAACATTATTTCGGTAAGATGAAGCCTCTAGTGGCCAGTGTCTGAGCAGAGCATTGAAGGCTCCACCTCTGCAAAGAGCGCACTCGGCTCCAAAAGCTGATAATGTCCGTTGGTGCTGTTGTTGATATTATGGCGGTTCTCCAACCCCGCTCAGAAGTCAGCGAGGCTGGTCTAAGTCATCAGATCAGATCTTGATTACTCCTCCCATTCTGACCCAGCCGAAGAATGGCTCATTCCTTCTTGTTGCCATAAATTATTAAAAATTTTCAATAATTTTTCTACCAGCGAAGTACGAGTAGTCGACAGCTCTGAGACAGCGCCAACCCAAAAGAAAGAATAATACTTAATTTGGAAACTGAAACAAATTTTATTTATCGAAAAATTCAAGCGACAACTAAAATATTATAAATATATTTTTTATCCATTTTTTGACTAAATCAAACGAGAAATGACCTCAATGATACCCACATCACGCTATAAGCCGGTGGTGCGCATCGGCAATTGGTTTGAAGACATTTGCTTGGAGCAGGTAAGCCGAAAATTCTCAAATTAAGATTAATTTCTCTTACGCCCACCCAGGAAAAGGTGCAAGCCTTCAAATCACTACGCGATAGCGGCCAACTTTTGGTGGAGAAGACGCGCAGACTCTTCGACAACTTCCACAAACCCATCGAATTGGAGGCGCCCAAAGAGAATGTCTACTTTGGCGCCATCGTACAGCTGATGCCAATGAAAATGCACATCTGTGAAGAGCACGTGAGGGCCAAGCCGGCGCTGTCGGTGATCATCAATGAGCGCGTGGTGCGTCACAGTCAGAATATCAATGAGGAGTGCGAGATAACCATTGCGCCGTCGGTGACACCCTGTGTACGCAACTCATTTCGCATTGTAAGTGGCGATGAGAAGGATCGTACGAATGAGGTGATTAAATATGGGCAGCAATTTCGTTTGGAATGTGTGGAGAGTCAAGATGATGTGCTGTTGCTGTATAGTGCGCCGAAGTCGGCGGATTTGAAGAGTATGATCTATACGACATTCGATTCGAGGAAATGGGGTGAAATCAACCTACCACTGGGGTTGTGCAGGAAGAGTGTAAGTTGTGTGCGCCAGAGATGTTCGTTTTATTATATTTCCATTCTCTCTTAGAGCTGTGGCCCCGGTAAGGAAATACCATCGGCTTTCACAAAATGGTTTTGCAGACACATTGAGCCGAAGAAACGTTTCGAGAGTCATGGTGCGCCAGTTCCCGTGAGTATATCTATATATGCCTTAAGAGTATCTCCATTCCTTATCCACGCACAAAACCAACTTCGTCTGCTTCTTTCAGAGCAATACCGCTCTGGTGATGACTCACGTGCCAACTAATAAGAATCTGGCTGCCGAGAATGTTGTCGTGCAGACACTTTTTGGACCGGTAAGTATTCAGAAGAGTGTAGGGTATGAGACCGTACGACTATCTAGCCGCAGCGGATTCCCAAGCCACACGAAGAGCTGACAGGCAACAATGTAGCATAATTTAGATGAAAGAATCATGGAGAAATCGAGCGAAAAATAAGGTTTACTGATCCTTATTAATGCTATTTTCAATGACAAAGGCAGGTTGGGACCCATCCATTTTCAGGCTGGTATAGATTAGCTTGCGAAGGCTGCTTGATAGCTGTTGTTGTTGCATTGCTGTAGGGATTCTCTAGCCCTGCTTAAGCGCATGTAAGACTAGTCTAGAGGTTATCTACCGGGAGGTCTAGGAACTCTTTTGACGGGTTCGAGCCAGAAGGAAAGTGGGGTTATATGAGTAGATTAAAGGCGCAAGGAGGTTAGTGTCATGAAGGGTCGTATGGCTTGGATTACGACCGTAGGATATAGGATTATGCAGTAACTAAGTCAACTACAATATACAGATGGTAATTGTGCCAGGATTACTCGGGTTCCGAGGCAGCACGGCCTTTTCGTCTAGAATAGGTAGTGCTTGAATCTCGAGAGTACTGTTCACATGGAGAAATCAAAGGCCCACTCGTCAAGGGGAATGCTTCGATTTAAGTAGAAGAACAGAAGCCAGGATAATATAGTCCCCTGCGGAATCTCTTGTTTAATCTTACAGAGGTTGAAAGTTTAACCTCAAAACTCTGTCATTGACTTTCGACCACTCAGGTAGTCCATGGTCGATCTCTTCCACCCTGGCGGCAATGAAGAATCCCAGTAGCGCTGAATGGTTGGAAGCGTCAAAGGCTCTTGACATATCCGGTGCTACCGGGTAGGGTTACGCCCGCAGGTTTGCTTTTATAAGGTCTACCAAGGGACTTTTTATATGTTTAAGGTATTAAGTGCGCTTGTGGTACTGATGACGATGTCCTTATGGGCTTAGATAATATGTGAAGGTCAGGCAAAGCAAGGCCCCAATTGTCTTCGCTACTGTGGAGAGGATATTATTATTATTGAAGTGATTTGCGGCCGAGCTTCTCCTCCAATTTGTGGTTTTTCATCGTGATGTGTATCCAATAAATGGGGTGATCTAAAGTTTATACTAAGCCGTCTTTGAACGGCTGATGGTTTTTTATGAGGAGCTTTTTATTTCGTCTCAGAAATACACTCGAAGGGGTTCACATGCCCGGTCGAGGGGCGACCTCTGGCTAGTTGGTTGTATTCATAATAAAAAAATCATGAAAACTCATTAGGGATTAAGCAGGTCTTCTGTCAGCAGCCTAGAGTGCTCCTCCTCTCTCTTTCTCTTGCTGTTTCGATCACTCACAACCAAAACCATTCGCCTCGTTTTCTTATCCAGTCTGGAGAAAGCTAAAGCAGCGGCACGTTTGAAACCGATTACATCAATACGAAGAGCACCAATATTAGCGTACTGACTTGGGCATCAAGCACGAAAGTGTCTGTGCCGCAGAACTGTCACAGGGTTGCAGTTTTCATTAGCGCGAAATAGATTGGACTCCAGGCTGATAGTAGGTCTATTGATCGGGCATTGGCTTTTAGTGTCGCATGCTTTCAATCGCTTTCATCTAGACCCGGTAGAGAACAACAGGTGTAGGAAATTTAGAGAATATATGGAGTGAGCGGAGCATGTATTCTGCAAGTGATCAGCATTCGGCAGGCAAAGGGCTATAATTACTGGGACAGGACTTTCAGTCAGTAATGTAGGAAGGGCTTAAACGACTAATACAATTTGCGAAGAAATGCAGCAGTGCTCTTCAAGCCAGGAATAGATGCTCTTTTCGTAGGTATTTTCCATGATTTGGCATAGGGTGAATGCCTGGTCAATGGTTGTGGTTGACTTGCCAGATCTGAAGCCACACTGATAAGGCCCGATCAGTTTGTTGACTAGGAGGACAATCAAGAAAGGGTAGAAGTATAGCTTGTGTGTCTGGGAACTCTGAGTCTGGCATATCTGTGTCTGGCAACTCGGTGAATGTGAGTGAGACTCGAGAGCTCAAACAGTATAACCTAACATAACCTCTCGGTAGTTTGGTTTAAAGCCATTTCTCTACGCCTTCGAACTTCTCTACTAATTTGCTGCATGTCGCTCTTCCAGGAATTCCTCGTCTCAGTGCAGAACTACAAGGACATCTACAATCGGGAACGTTGGCAAAATATTTGGATGATTTGCAATGGGCAGAATGAGGGAACGCGACCCACGCAGTGAAGAATTCAAAAAGTAAATGAAAGCACAAAAACACAAAAAATTTATATTTGGTAAAAAGAAGAAGAAGAAAATTTAAACAAAATAAAATCAAAATGAAAACACGAAGGGAGCAAAGGGCAACCGTACTCTGCGGACGTTTTATTTTCGTTTGACAGCTCTTTTGCTCAATCAAATAACAGTACATAACTGCAGTTGCAGAGATAACGGTAGCACAGCTTGATTTGCAGTTATCACAGCAGAAGACAGCAGGAAAATATTTGCAAAGTGACTAAGGGAGGGCATCCAATAGCCTCAGAGCGTAGCGCCGTGCTGTTGTTGTGCAAATGTGTTTGGGAAATTTTATTCACATTTCCGAATGCCTCGAACCCCCTTTCCGTACTTATGCTACAAGCGCTCGTTAGTCATTGACCCCGCACCTTGGTGGCGTTTGCAAAAAAAGTTCTGACCCAAATTCGCGCACAGTTGGACGCCAAGTTCAGAACGCCACACTTGGCCCACATTCCCCGTCGAGGTTGGCAAATAGAAAACAAGCGCTCTAACCAGGCTAAGACAACAAAGCTGTTTCTAATGCGCGCGCGAATCTCGAACCCGCCGAGTTGAACGTCATAATGGTATATAAGACGCTTGCGAAATCCGTTTGCTTTATAGTTTACTTCCCCTTTTCTTTGGAAGGTGTGTCTTTTTACGCGAAAAGTAAGTTTGTTGAAGAACTTTTTTCAGTTCCAGTTCCGACGCAATGTATTGTCTGCTCGTCTTGGCCTGTCTCGGCGCTTACGCCATACAACCCAGCGCTGCTGGCACGCGTATTATTGGCGGTCAGTTTGCGCTGCCTGGCCAGTTTCCGCATCAGGTTTCGCTGCAGCTACGCGGTCGCCATCACTGTGGCGGCTCACTCATTTCGCCAACCATGATCATCACAGCCGCTCACTGCACTATCGGTCAGAGTCCTACACAGATGCGCGCCATTGTCGGCACAACCGATTTGTTGTCGCGCGCTGGCAAGTCCTTCGATATTGCCAAATTCATCATACATCCTCAGTACAACCCACAAACACAGGATTACGATCTCTCGCTGATACAGTTGAGCGCGGCTGTGCCGTTGGACGATGACATCGACGTAATTGAAATGGCCGACATGGAGGCCAATCACGCTGCGGACACGGTGGCCACAATTAGTGGTTTCGGCGCTATTAATGGCAATCTCCAGCTGCCCAATCGTTTGAAGTATGCCCGCGTGCAACTGTGGAGCCGCGATTTCTGCAACCCGAAGAACATTCCCGGCGTTACGGATCGTATGATTTGCGCTGGACATCCTAGCGGTCAGGTGAGCGCCTGTCAGGGTGACTCTGGTGGTCCATTGACTGTGGATAATAAACTTTTTGGCATCGTCTCGTGGGGTTTCGGTTGTGGCGCCGCCGGTAAGCCCGCTATGTACACCTACGTCGGCGCTCTACGCTCGTGGATCAAACAGAACTCAGGCGTTTGAGTTGGACTATTGGACGGCTATTGGGTGGGGTTGAATGAAGGACGCAGTGTTGGTGCGTTGGTGCGTTGGCGAACAATTTAAGTATTATGTTTGTAGTTGAAATAGTAAAATGAAGTTGATATTTGAAGAATTAAATTTTTCGCTTGATTTCTTGGAATGAAGCTGTAAGATAGGGCATCACTTTTCCTCACAGTTTTACAGGCAAATGTTCTCTTGTGGATTCAGAAAGCATGTTATCCTTAGGTCTCAGTCCGCAAGTTGGGGGAAGGATATGAAAGTTAAAAATCCTTACTTTCTGCTGAGCTTTCTAACAGCGCTAACTGCGTCACTGTGCAGCAGTAGGTCTAGTCGGAAACCGAAATTTGAATCGGAGCTCTTTGGCGCAGGCTCATATTTAGAGTGCTTTCATCCAACCGGATGGCAAGACTTAGTCAGCGAAGCTGCTTTCTCTAAACTGCTTGTAATGGCGCCGATTATTTCATGCAACAGACACTTCGGAATTGGTTCCTACATGATTTTCCAATGGCTTTACTCCAGTACTGTATATATCTTACTCCACTACCCTTGGGATCTTGAGAAACTTTTAATATTAGAGCTTTGTAGATCCGTCCAGCAATTACTTGAATTAGTTACGGAGCTAAGCACGTCTAATGTCCTTATCTCGGTTTGAAATTAAATTCGTTTCAAGCGTCATTCTAATTAACAAACTGAACTGCAAAGAATAAAGAGGAAGACTCGATTGTTCTCTATGCCTGTAAATGAGTTTTTAGAAACTTATTTGATCAAAAGGATCAAAAAGAAACCCATTTCAGAAATAGTAACCGGGATACTGACCGGACGGCCTACAATGATTAGTAAGGATGTCCAAATAATTGGAAAAAAATCAGATTAAAATTCAAAGTATCGTATTAGGCTTATGTTGATTGATTGCTACATGTCTCAGTGGCAACTCTCTCGACCTAAGCAATCGTACTTGTAATTTTTCGGCAGAGAAATAGTTTTATCATCTTAAACTATTTTTTGGTAAATTAAACTTTTCACTAAAGCAAACTACAACCAGTAGCAAACCAAAGAACTTATGAATACTTAGTAGTTATTACAAGTATAAGTTCTCCAGAGAACTTAAAATAACGAGAAGGTGCAAATTCGTTGCAACATCGAACGTGCTTCAAACAATTTCTGAAAAACTTTGGGAAAGGGATTCACCACACCGGGAAAGGGATTCACCATGATTTCTATAACAGCTACTGATAAAGTTAGCAGAGATATTCATTCCGATTTCTGCTAAAAAACAGAGAATCGTATTCAATTATTTTTTCAATTTATTGCATACCTTTGCTTTGGCAATTTCAAGTGAGTTAAATATGTATTTAATATAATAGAAAAATATAAAAAATATTAAAATATTAAAAAAAATTATTTTTAAAAATCATTAAATATATTAAAACTTATTTAAAAAGTTCGATGTAAGGAAATAAGTTTCAAAAATATTAAAATTTAAAATATTATATAAAAAATTCTAGACTTTTCATTATGAATGATTGGAATTATAATTGTATTTGTTGCTAATAGTGAATAATATTTGCGATTTTGTCAATACTTTTGTCAGCGATCTAAATAAATAACAACTCTGCCAACGAAAATGCAAAGTGATCGGTGGCGAAATGGTTTGCATCGATTGACTTTTGCCCAAGCTGCGCGGGTTCAAATCCTTCTCTCGATTCCTTATCGCATTTTATTTTTTGAAATTGCCAAATTTTAAATCGTCGCCAAGGAATTGCTTGTTGATTCGGTGTGTTAAGTTCTCTGGTTCTCTGGCAAATTATACAAACAGTTTGAGAGCTACGTCAATATTTATGAACTCGCTAAACCCCACAACGTAAAAGTTTGACAACTTGCTGAGCTCTGTAATGTGTCTTGGCTAAAGAGTATCACACTGCTATTAGCGCCCTCTGTGGTCAGTATGTTTCACCTACTAACGCCGGGTGATTCACCAGAGAATCTTAATATAATAAAAGAACGTACGTTCTTTAATATACCGAGTAGCAGACAGAGAACGTATTTACGTTCTCTGATTGAACCTTCTCGTTGTATTTACGTTCTCTGGCTCTGCTCTATTTGGAAGAGGGAAATGCATTTAGGCATGTGCTTTTATGTATGTACATTTATAGTGCATGTACAAATGACACAGGATTTTAGGAACATTAAAAAATATTAATAAATTTATTATTAATAAGAATTATATAAAAATCAAATAGTGTTTATTCACTCTTCGGCTTGTACTTGAACTCGAGGCATACGAATGACTCCACCTTCAATGACAAATTATTGCCGGTTATGCCTGCGTCAAACCAACTCCATCACAATAAAGCAATTTCTCGCGGCATTCAATGCATGATCATATATGGAATATGGTATAATTCAGTAATTTCAGTTGAAGTCTTCAAAATTTGAGATTTAAGTAAATAAATAATAAATTATATTATAAAATTTTATTTTATTTTATTTTATTTTATTTTATTTTATTTTATTTTATTTTATTTTATTTTATTTTATTTTATTTTATTTTGTTTTATTTTATTTTGTGGTATTTTATTTTATTTTATTTTATTTTAGTTCACTTTTTGGATTTGCATATATTTTAGTAATTTAAAGTACTTTATATTTTTTTTAAATATTTTTTGTTTGTTTAATTTTATTTCTTTTTTAATTCGATTTTATTTAATTTAAATTAATTTTATTTTATATAATTTCTTATATTTTATTTAAAACAATTTTTTTATATGTAATTTAATTCACAATAATTTAATTTAATTTTTTCCCAAAAACCCGCATTTAATTAAACAATTTTTTTTAAAGTTCTTCCATTTTATTAAATTCTTGGTTATATAATCCTAAAAGTACTTTCGATATGTTTGCCTTAAATGTATGATAGTATATATTTTATTCAAATTTTATTCATATTTACTATTACACATTAGTACAAATTGTCAAATATTTTTACAGATATATATATAAATATATATAAATAATGTTAAATAATTAATTCGGTCTACATATAAAAAAAAAAAACAAAAAAATAAAAAAGTAGAAAAAAAAGTATTTGTATTTATGTCATTAAATTCACATATTCAGAAATTACATTTTTTTCTTTTGCATTACTTTTTATATTATATAATTTATATACCATTTAGTTGTTGTAAAAATCAACTCAACTTCTGTATATATTTATACCGTTTAAAAACACACAATATTTTATTGCGCATCAAATTACTCGAATTTTGATAAATAAACACATATCATTTATGTCATTGCGTATAAATAAATAATAAAAAATTTACTAAATAAATATGTATGTGCGTTTAAATTGCAATAACAGCGAATTGCAATGCACAAAAACTCTACAAATCAAATAAGATTTGCATATATTTATTGCAGCGATGAAAGGCTAATAGCTTCAAGCGCTGATGGATCGCTCTGCACGCGCGCATACAAACATATGCATACAGATGTAAAAGTATAAATGTATATGTTGTATAAATATAAACACATAGCAATGCTTTTATTTATTAACATAATTTGATGCTTATGGAAATAGTTTCGGCAAAGCAATTTTGGAATTTATGCTCTTACAAATATATATATATATATACTCGTATATACATACTGACGTGTGCTTTTTGCTTATGTATCTGTTATGATATATTTACACAGAGATTTTGTGACATCAAGCTTAGTTTTATTTACCTTTACAGTTGGAATTCGAAACAAATCCTAGATAGTAGATAGTAGGTAGATATACATGTGTGTATGTTTGTATGTACAAATATTATTAAATCTATATGTATTGTATGTATGCAGTTCAATGATATTCCTAATTTTAAGCTTTTATTTGTTTTAAATTTTATTGTAATTTATACACAATAACATATGTATGTATGTTAGTATGTGTGTACGTACGAAATAAGTTTAGCTGTTAATTACTCATAGATTTAGAAGGCACATTTTCAATTTCGTACGTTTTATTTTAATTTTCTTCTTTTTTTTTTTGTGGAAAAATTTTCTTAACTTTATTTTTTGATTTATTTTTATTTTTTTTTATGCTGTTTTTTTTAGGATAATTCTGTTGGAATTCACACTGTTCTTCAGCGTTCTGTAGTGTGTTTGGTAAGCATAATCGGCAAACTACACTTATTTGGAGCACTTGAACTTAGCCTATTGCAAAGCATAGTTTTAGGCGCACGGTTGCTTACAGCTGTTCAGTTGGGGTTGCTTTAATTACTAGCATATTTAGTCAAAAAGTTCAAAATGATATGTTTTTTTTTAAATTATTTTAATGCCATATTAATTTAAATTAATATTTTTCTGAAAGTATTTTGAATTGATATACTTATTTTGCTCAAGAGAAATTTATTTGTGTAATGTTGCTTAAAAAAATTTAGTTAAAGCAATTTTGTATGAGTTTCGTATTTTCCAAATTATATATAAAGTTTATTGATATGAAAATTCCCGAAATATATACATTATACAGTTTAAAAAATTATTTATTTTAATTAAATATTAATTTGTAATTTTTTTTTTACTCAATTTCTGGTAATATTTGAAAATGACATGAATTCTTTAATGTTTCTTAAAAAATTTCGTATAAATTCTTAACTTTTTAAGTTAATTACAAATTTCATTATTATAACAATTCGAAAAAGTATATGTATTATAGGGTTTAAAGAAATTAATTTTAGTATAAAAAATTTGTACAATTTTTTATTTTTATACCAAGTACTTTGCGCAGGTTTATAAAATGAAAACCCTAAGCCATTAAACAATTTATATTTATTAATTAAATGATAAAATCCTCTCAAACAAATGAAATAATTAAAAGACCATGTAAACATATTTTGTGCGTAAAATTCATTTATTTTCAAAACTAAATTAAATTAAATCATTTAATAAAATAATATTTTTATAAATAATAATAAGATTTTATATTTGTATGAATAACATTTTAAATAAACTAAATTTGGCAAGATTATATACAATTTAAATAATATCAAATATAACAAAATTTATTTGCTTCGCGTAATCACAAGCACACAAAAAAAATCGATTAACCTAAAAAAATATCTTAGTATTTATTTTTAATTTAATTATATGCACATAATACATGCTATAATATTTTTAAACTAAACATAAACAGAGGAAATGTTTACAAAACTAAGAAAAAAAATTAAAAATTTTTATTATAGCAGATTACATTAATATTTCAAATATTATTTTACCAAAGAGTAATTAAAATAAATATTTTGGTTCCATTCAATAATTTTTTTTATTTTCAAAGTGAAATTTAAGTAAAACAAAACATAATGTCATATGCATATGTAAAAAAGAATAAGATATGTATAAATTTTGATAACCTTTTTAATTTTTTCATGAAAAATTTAATCAGAACAATCTTAATTTAATTTTATTTATATTTTATATTTATCAAAAGGAGGTGTTGGCTTGGTTGAAATATGTTTCAAGCTCTTTTCAGATTGTTTAAATATATATTTGCTTAAAATTTTAATACAGGAATGTTAACAAACATACAGAAACCACTAAATGTGAGCCAAAAAATGCATAGTATTGGGGAATGCTTTAATTTAAATTATTTATATTAATTTGCTTTTATTTTATTTCACTTTGATATATTTTATTTTTTGTTTCAGTCTAATATTATTTCATTGTGTTATAAGTTATTTTTTTAAACTTTATTTAATATAATTTAATATTATTCTTTTTATTTTTTTTTATTTGATTTGATTTTGTTTTTTTTTTTATTTGATTTGATTTTGTTTTATTTTATTGTATTTTATTTGAGTTTATTCATTTCATTTAATTTTGTTTTTCTAATTGTATTTATTTTAATTTATTTAATTTAAATTAAGTTTATTTTATTTTAATTTATTTAATTTAATTAAAGTTTATTTCATTTTATTTTGTTTTATTTTGCTCTGTTGTATTTTATTTTTTCAATTTTACTTTATATAATTTTTTTTTTCATTTAATTTTATTTGATTTTATTTTATTTTATTTTATTTTACTTTATTTTATTTTACTTTATTTTATTTTATTTTTTCTCAATTTTACTTTCTTTTATTTATATATTTTATTATTATTTTTTATTCTATTTAGTTTTATTTTATTTATTTCTAATTCTTTTAGTTAATTTTATTTTACATACAGCATTCGCCATTGTTCCATACATTTTAAGAAAAACCAACTCAGTGATTCAATAAAATACCTAAATTTTAATTAACAATTTGATATTTGTTTTATAAATGCAGCGTTACTAATTTAATGCGTAATTGTTATTTGTTGTTTCTTTTCTACATTTGACTAAGTCTTGTTTGCTTAATATACGTATTATATTTAATTTTATTTTTTAATTAGTTTTCAACTAAACTGTTTTGCAACTTGACTTTTCACACGCACTTTTCAACTCTTACAAATACACTAATATTTGTATATATCATATGTTTGAATTTTTGTATGGTCTAAATGCTTACTTACATATAAATTATTTAATTTAAGTACAATTATTTATAATAATAACATTTAATATTTTTTTAACAAATTTGCTTATTTTTATTTCACATTCTTTTTATTGCAATTTCATTATTTCCTACTTATGTCTTATTTTACGCTTAATGCTACTGTACAACAGTCGTCCAGATGTTTATTATTTTTTGTTGTGTAGTTTTGTAGTTTGCATATACGCCAATGGATGAAAATATTTGTAGGTATGTGTGTGTGACGTATATATATCAACATACACATATATGTATATTTAACTCAAACGGAAGCTTCAGGATAATATATATGTATGTATGCATCTAAGTATGTATGTATTGGTAAGTACTACTCCAAAGTCTGCTACCTGGAAATTCTCGACTGCAACTTAAAACCGAGCTACATATTGTACATACCTATAAACACAGACTATGTAAACCGACTATATTGACATACATACATACATATGTATGTATGTGCGTATTTATATTTTCGAAATATTTATTTACACAATACACTTTACTTTCGTCCACACGGCATCTACTTATGATTCTTTCTTTATATAGGTATGTAAGTATGTAAATATGTATGAGTGTGTGTGTGTGTGTGTTTGTATGCAATGGCATATTATAGCCACGGATAGTTGTGGCCATATTGTGCTTGAGCTGTTAAAATGTCTTGTTGTTGTTGTTGTTCTCGCAGCAGACGCTCTATTTCGGTCACTGCTGGTAATTTATGTAGCTGTTGTTGATGCTGTTGTTGCTTTTGTTGTCCACGTACAACACTTTCGTATCTCGTCTGTTGTAGCGTTTTATGTTGTGTATGTCCATATTGTTGTTGTTGTGGCTGCTGTTGTTGCTGTCCACTTTGTTGTTGCTTCTGTTGTTGTCTTGTATTTCCTGTACGTAATTTATGCTATTTTCGTCGCTTATGCGTCGGCAATAAAACCGTGCCATCGGCATAAAAATAACCTCACAATTTCGATGGATCGTAATTTTCGAGCTTCCACTGCTGTCGCAATTGATTCGAATCACATTCCTCCATAACAACTTTATCCTTCTTCTCCGATATGGCCAGACACTTGTCTGATGAGCCATGACGTATTTGACGTTTCTGCTGATTATATTTCCAGAACTGCAGTGAGAGGATGAGAAAGAGAGAGAGAATGAGAGAGAGTGAGAGGGTAAGAGCAAGTCAATAAAAAAATAGCTAAAAGTTGATTCTTTTTTTTTTAAATATATGTGTATAGAAAAAAATATTAACAATCTACAAATAGATCTATCGACCAAAAGAATCCTTTATATAAAAGTGCGAGTACTAGCAGATCCGGTCACAAGTCACTGTGGCTTTCTGTTTTCAGTCCAATTTTTATTCAAATTGGTGTTTGCAAAGAGCTTTGAACAACCCTAATCAGACATTGCTTAAGTCAAAATATTAATTTATTTTATTTTATTTTGAATCTAACTACATATTTTCATGCCTGGCTTACTGCTTCGCTGTTCAAAGTCTTTCCCACTCAAAGTAAATATGAATGCTTCGGAGTAAGCCGAACGCACCATTCCGATCTAGGCTTATTCACACTCAAATTGTACATATAAGAACAGCTTGTAACCAGCACCTGCAGAATAAAAAAAATCCGAATCATCCAAATCATTCTTCCATTTTGCTGGTCTATCGGCGGTCCCTTTCCCGTAAAAAAAAAAGTTTCATTTTTATTTCGAGCAAATCGAGTTCCAAGACTCAGTAACTTGGACATATCATCCAAGAGTTTAACTAAGCCGAACCCTAAATATATATAATATATGTTTTTATCAAATATATCGATTCAGATTTTATGCCACAAAGCCAAACCAGAATTTTAAGAAAATCGAACCACAAATACGATTTCTTTCGAATGCGTCAGTTCGGGTTTACTTCCCGTATAAACCTTCTCAGGGAACATAGAAAGAATCTGATACATTTTTTAGCTAATCGGTCGATAACTTTTGTAGACTTGCAGATCATTTGAAATGAACATAAATATTTTATGTACTCGTATATAGATGTAGTATATGGTACTAGTGTACTTATAAAAATTAAATCTACCGTCTAGGGCAACTTTCGGCGGAAATATCAAAATTTAAACCTTGGAAGAAATATTTAAGATTAAAATTAAAAATGCTGACGTAAGAAGTTTTTCTGTAAATTTCAAAAAGTCTATTTTCTTTTTAAAAATTTTCCACTGCAAATATATTTGAGAATATATTCCGAAAATCTGAAGTTGATCCGTCAAACTGTATCGGAGATATGTGCGTATCCTTAAGAACGTCTCGTTCGGCGTTCGAATGGTGCACAAAACTTTAAATGCATTTTTCTCGAAACAGAGTCGGTAAGAAAAATTTCTCGGAAACCCCGAAACCGATCGGCTTAAAATTTTCACACGACACGACACGACTAAGTCATAATTGTTAGGTAATGGTAGAAGGTTTAAAATTTTTGAAAATAATTTCGATTTGTAAGCCACTTTGAAGTGCAGAATTTCCTCCAAAAAGTGAATTTTTTTTTCGAAGCAGTCATTTTGTCAAAAATCAAAATTTCCACCATTCCTTCGATCATTACCCGTGTTTATTCATTGGAATACTAATTTTTTTTGTAGGTTTTCGGGTTTCAGGTAATTTGAAGCAGAAACAACTTCCTCACCGCCAGACACCCTTTTTTTTGGAGGCCCTTCTGGAGGTCGGCTTCATGTCGCACCGAGTTCATTGCACGGCGTCATGAGCGTGTTTCGTAACTCCTTTTTCGGCTTCAGTCGCCAGATGTATGGAACTTTTGGCAATCTGCTGAGCCTATTTTGGTCCGCCGATAAAAGTGAAAGAGAGTGTTGTTCACTTTCTGTTGGTTAACCATCTTTTAGTTTAGTCAGAACCCATACTTTTCAGACAAACCGCGCCAGTTTATAGTATATTCTATTGCTATTTTCGGTCTCATTGAGCTCTCTCTGAAGGTTTGGCAAATCATTAAAACCTTCAATCTCACAGCAGTTTTTGTGGAACTATTCCCTGTGACCACTGACGTAGTAGCCGAAATAAAATATTGTGAAAAATTAATTTTTCTAGTTGGAGTCGCCCCTCAGCAATCAACCCCTCTAAGTATATGTCTGACATGACACAGAGAAGCTCCTCTTTAAAATCCAACAGGGGTTTGGGGTGACTTAGCTCCTTCCGTTTGCAGTATTGTTGTTTTCAATTAACTATTTAATCCACATATATATATATATATATTTTTTTACAAACTTTATTTGCCTCAGAAGAACTTTTCATATTTTTACAATCGAGTAAAGCGGAACGTTCGCGTGCTTTTGGTGGGTAAAAATGGTCATAAGTTGTAATATATTTGGGTGAACTAATTCTTAATTATTAAACAACAAAAAAAAAATAATAATAAATTAAAAGTTGGAAAAATTAATTATTTCATAAGGAACTTTTTCGGAATTTTCACTTTTTTTTGGACTTTTTTGAACTTCTTATGAAAACTATATAGTTTAACGCAGATCTCGAAAGTTGATATTTATTTTGATATTTTTTTCTAATATTTACACCCTCCAGCAAACACAAAAACCTCTAGAAAATGGGTGTAGAAGTCGTTTTTTTTAACAAAATTTTGTTTAATTTTCTCTTTGGATTAAAAAAAATTATCTTAGAAGCAAATATCTTGGAACATTTCAGCAATATAAATTTCGAAATAAGCCCTATTACTTCTTTTCAAAATTTTCGCTTACAATAAATTCCTACTTTTCTGCTCATTTTCTATCTTCACTTGTACTCATTTCCTGCTCTATACTGTCTGTAGAAATGATTATACGCACTCGTGCTTATAACATATATGTATATGTCTACAATACATTTGAGGCTTACCTGATTTCCTTTGGAGCCGTGACATGGATACAATATCACATCGTGGCCAGCATAATCAAGACAGGCTTCATCGCGTCGTATTTCACCCGCTTTACTCAGCATCCAATACTGTCGGAGAGATTATGAAAGCAAGAAATATACATACACATTTGTGTGAACAGATGAGCGCGCGTATTTGGTTTGTCGTGCGGTAAGCGAGATACCACAAGGCCACCCAATACACGAGTGAGGTTGGTTAAGTTGATTGGTTTCGTTGGTTCGGGGGATTCGTGATTTGACAGCAAACGTACGTGCATACAAACACATATGAGTAACGATGTTGTGGGGACATTCATTCCAGATCAATGACAGAACAGCGCAGCAAAGCGTCAAAATTGTTGGAAAGTAAAAAAAAAATGTTGAATTTATTTCGTTAGTAATGCTAATATGGTAAAGAAAAAAAGTGTGGCGGAGTACAAAATTTTTGCAGAAAATGCTGAAGTGAGAACAGAAGTAAAATAAAATAAAATAAAATAAAATAAAATAAAATAAAATAAAATAAAATAAAATAAATCAAAATGAAATAATTTAAAAAAAATAAATAAATATAAAACGATATAAAAAGGATTGAAATAACGTAAATAATAATAATATAAATCAAAATGAAATAATTTAAAAAAAATAAATAAATATAGAGCTCCACAAAATGTGTTAAATTAAAGTTAATTGGAACGAAATAATATACAAAAAAAAATATATTAGGATAAATAAACTAAAATAAAGTATAAAAATGAAATCAAACAAATAAATACTATAACTTGAAATAAATTAAAATACAGTATATATATTTTTAAAATTGAGTCAAATAAAATTAAATAAAAAAATGAATTTAACGAAAATGATTAAATAAAAAGAACGGTTAAATAAAAGTCAGCGAAGGATGCTGAATAAATAAGAAATATGTATGAATTAAAATATAATGATAATTTATGTATATTTGAATCAGATAAATTGAAAAGCGCAATAAAAAAACCAAAAATGGAAAAACCGTAAGAACTGCAAGAGCGACAAATAAAAGAAGATACGAAATGGGTATGACCAAGGGTGAATATGAATGGCAAACGGTATGAAAATGTGTATGAATACGACGATGATAAAACTTATCGTGCGTAAATGTACATAAGTATATATAAATATCAGTGTTTTATATTATTTCAAAAGCTCTTTGTTGCTCCTGCTGCTGCCTGTACTACAGTTGCAAATGAGTTGCTCTTCATTAAGCCGTCGCGTGCAATTTGTCGCAGCAATGTGTGCTGGAGTCATATTTATAAATTATTATTTTCGTATTTTTTTTTTATGTATGTGCATCACATATACATATGCACGTGTATTTAAATGTGTACATACTGTTCCAACACGAATTATTTTTAAATGGGAAAATGAATGAAAATATTCTGTACATAAATATGAATGAATGTGATTGTGAGTTGCTGTAGATTGCAGAGCGAGCTCAGGCTGCTACTTTTTGTTACGCTTATCCTCTTGGAGCAGAAAATGTTGATTATTATTTTTCCGTTTAATTAAATTGTACAAGAAGTGTCTTATTAATGCACACTTACAAAGTTAATTCGATCGAAAATTCGGTTGATGAATTCAATTTGTTTTTAAATGAGTGTTAAATTACTTTTTTATGATTTTGAGTTTTTTTTACTTTATTTTTTAAATATTTATTTCGTCTCTCAAGTTTTATTCATTTCTTTTGAAATTTAATGCAGGTTTACACTTTTTTTAACTGAATTTTTATTTTCTTTATTTCCTTTAACATTGAAAATAACTGACAATTTTTTCTTTTAAACATTTCCATTTTCATAAAATTTTTTTAAAATAATTAAATTGTTTTGCTGCTGTTCGAAAATGCTTAAAAACACATGAGTTATTATTTTAACATATTCCATTGCCTACATTTGTGCGCTAACGAGCTGTTACACTGCAGCAAAAAGTTCTGATGGGAAAACATTGTTTTGCCATTCATCATATTTTTTACGAGGATAAATATAACTTTTTATGCTATTATTTTGTAAAAAGATCTCTTGCGCATAATTCAAATCGAAACCCGTTGAATAAAATGGCTATGACTACTGTGAAAAATATTTAATGAAAGTATTGTATTACTGATAATTAAAGAAATGCGCTTAAACATTTACATGACTGCTATTATTGAGAGAACTATTTTTTAATAAAAACTTTTTATAGCCATCAGTTTATTTTCGTAAAAAAATATTTTTTTTTTTTGGAAGATTTAAAGTTTAAAATTAAATTTCATTTGGATTGAATCTTTAATTTTTGTTTTAATTTTAATTAAAATTAAATTTTAATTTTCGTTTTTATTTAAACTTTTACTTAGAGGTTTAATTTTAATGTGACTTTGAATTTGAATTTTAAATTTCATTCAAATTTAATTTTAATTTTAAATTTCATTGTAATTTTAATTTTAAATTTAATTTTATAATAGACCTTGAAAAATATCGTTTCGCGCTTGAACGGTCCGAATTTAAAAAGTTTTCAATCAATTTAAATTTAAATAATTTTTTCAATTCTGTTTTGCTCTATTATTTTTATAACAACACATATATGATGTTGATAAAATATGTTTTAATGTGTATGCACGGAATTATTCCCATTTATTTATCCATGAAAACCAATTTATTTTGGCTTTTCTAAAATGTCAAAATATTAAACAAATAGTATTAAAAAAGTGTTTACTATTTTTTCTTTTATCAAAAACTATTAACAACAAAGTCAAAACCATGTAAATATTGTGGAAAAAATATTAATAGCAAAATGTATGCATATATTTAGCCACACAGCATGTCAATATTTTGAAAAAATTTTTTACGGTTTTTACAAACTGCATTTATTCAAATTAAGTGTGAAATGGTTCGAAAAAGTCAATAAGTGCGGAGTCACGGAGAAGAAAAAATAGTGTTGCATATCTGCAGGCTCATAATGTGTGTGTATGTAAATAAATGAATGTAAATAAATGATAATTTATTTATTTTTTATTATGTTTTCTTTTCTTTAATATTCGTTATATATTCGCGCGCTTTTAATTAATTTTCGCATTTTTTTGTTCGTTGATTTTGTTACCGCAAAAAGCAATCATTATTCATTTTTTATGTTAAAATATGAAAAAAATATATTTTATTTACAGCATAACTACGATTTTAGTTAAGGTTACTAAAGATATTTGAGCGAAAAGTCATCCCGCTTTCCTTAAATAAAATTATATATACTTTTATTGAGAGTTGCATCGTGGCACTAATTGATCTACTTCAGAATATTACATTGTATAAACAATTACATTTTAACTACATGTTATTTTTAAAATTAAATTATTATAGTGTTATAAATTAAAACCATAATTTTATTTTGTAAAAATCGTTATTTTATTTTATTTTATTTTATTTTATTTTATTTTATTTTATTTTATTTTATTTTATTTTATTTTATTTTATTTTATTTTATTTTATTTTATTTTATTTCATTTAATATTATATCATTTTACTTTTTATTATTTTGTTATTATGTTTCATTTTATTTTTATTTAATTTTAAACTAATTTATTACTTGTTTTGTAAATTATAAATTGAATTAAATAAAGTTGTGATTTCAATGTAAATTGTTTGAGGTCAGCGTACACAAAGTTTGTAGATTGAAAATTTTTACTGCTAAACTTAAAATCTGCTGATTATTTATTCTATATTATTTTATTTTATTTCATTTTTAATGATCATTCAAATGATGGAAAAAAATATAATGAGTTTTTGAGTAATTATGAATTATTTAGTATTGGGTAATTTTGTAATAATATATTATATTTGATATGTAAATGTGTGTTTAATATTTTCTATGAAGAAACCCTTCATATACTGAGCTCCAATGGTAATGGGGGGTTAAAAATATGTAAATAATTCTTTTCCTTTGGATTAATATTCCGTTTCAAAAACGCAGTTTATTAATGAGTGATGATTAAAATTTTAAATAAATTTATGGCATATAGAAATGAATATATGTATTAATGCTGCTTCATGTACATAATGAACTCGTATGTGCATGCCAGCAATAAAAACTTATATAATTTATGCCTAAAAGTGGGTATGCATAGATTTAATATGACAGTAATTTCAATGATTAAGCCGTAGCCACAAACTCCGTGAATTAGTGTTTTTTATTTTAGTTTTTTTTTATCACCAAAAATAACCAAAAAAATAAATAAAATTTCGGTTAAGCTAAAATATAACCAAAAAAAGTCTTAAATGAATAAAAAATATATAGTAACTAAATATTAACTTATATTTATGGCAGTATGTGAGCAATCAATGCGAACTGCGCACAATTTCAGCAGCTAAAAAGGCAAATGCGGTAAAAGAAAACTATGAAATACATATTGTAATATAATTTCCTGCGAAAATCAGAGGTAAATGTTAAATTCGACGGGCAAAAAACCAAACGGTATGATTTTGCGGTTTATTTTTATGTCTGTTTTGATTGATTTAAAAGCAAGCAGAATTCCATATTAAATAATGCAGAATTTTTTTATGTAATTTGCAAATTCTTTGCTGCAATATCTATAATTTTTTGCTCAATAATTTACTTTCCATTTATTGCATAAATTAAAACCCAAAAAAGTTTGAGTATTTTAATATTAATTTTAATGGGAATAAATTTATGTTATTATCTCTGCTGGTCTGTTAAATATTCTTCAAAAAAATAATTATGATGAAAAATAATATAAAGTGATTTATTCAGCCAATTAAGAATGTTGTTAATTGATTGAATTTATGCTCTTTTTAAAATATTTTTTGGTATTTAAACTTTGTTGCAGAAAACATGGCAGCCCCTTTGAGTATTTAAAATATATTGAATATATATCTACTAAAATATGACTATAGAATCTTATACATAGGAAGTACTCTTCAAAAAAAAAAAATGCTTAAAATTTTGAGCTTTAAGCTTATCTTGCAAAGAGTTTTATTCACTATTTTTGTCATAAAATTCAAATTCCTTTCACTTAAACGTAGTTAAAAGCCACTTTTCAAGCTTTTGAAGTGTTAAAAATTCACATAAAACGCTTTCATTCACAGTTGTGAGCTTTTGACGGCAAAAAGCTTCTAAATTTCAAGAACAGACCAATTTTAAAATTTTTTTTTCAAAATTACAAAATTAAAAGTGTTTAATAATTCAAACGTCTTTAGAGGGAGATTTTTCAATATACATCTTCAGAAATTTAAAATGTGTGGAAAGCTTGAAGCTTAATGTTCTTGGGAAACAATCTTTGTATTATTAAGAGCGTAATCAAGGACTTACAAACATCTACTAAATGAGAATAAAGTATTTTACTAGTATATAGAGAAGTCACAAAATCTTACAGCTACTTTGGTTTGCATAACGGTATTTTTGGCTTGATTCATTTCAGATTTATACGAGTATGCATTGAAGCTCCATAAGAGATCCAGTTTCGAAGCTTATTTATCTAAAACATAACTGAGATAGAAGAGCTTTCTAAAGAATTTTGAAAAAGTGTAAACGTGCTGTTAACATAAAAGCACAGTCTACAAGTAATTCTCACTCGCGCGTGTATCTCCAGAAGAACACCACGGTATGCAAACTTTCATTTTTTAAAAAAGAAATAATAAATAAGAAATTCATTGTACTTTATGTACTAAACTCCAAACTTATAAATTTTTTTGATTTATTTAAAAATATTGAGAAAGCTTAAGTGAAGTTTTTACGAAGAAAGCATGGAAGCTGTCTTGTATGAAAAAGTTCAAATGAACGTTTTTATGGAACAGCTTGAAAGCTATCATTTATGGAAAAGCTCAAATGAAGCTTTCTATGAAACAGTTCGAACGAAGCTTTTTATGGAACAGCTCAATGTAGAAGCTTTTAAGAAAAAAATTTAAGCCGTGCTGCATTATACCAATGTGAGTAATATTTGCTGAAATTGAGTGTTGCCACACCCTTCAAATATAAAATTCCCAAAAAATATTTTGTTATTAATTGAAGATTTTACTCCAGCACCAGCTTAAAAAATAACTACTATTAAAATGGGTATTATAGATACAATGAGATGTTTGAAATGGAGCTACCGCGTAGTACTTTCGCCAAAGTAAATAAATTTCGTAGGCATAACTTTTTGATTAAATCCTTCTCACATAATTTTACGCAAGCAAATAAATTTCAAAAAGTCAACATATAAACCATAAATACATTGGAAAGGGTGAACCAAATGAAAAAAAAAAAAAATCAATCGATAAATTAGAAGAAAAAGCAGAAGCGAATAAGTGGGGCTGTGGGGGGTGGTAGACTTGGGCGGGGTAGCAAACAACGTATTATGAACGAAAGTAAGTAGAAAGAGTATATGTAAAGAAAAAAATAAAGTACCTGATTTCCGCCTTGGCCATGGCAAGGATACGGATCGACGGCCGATTGCATTTCAGTTCCAGTCGCGGCCGAATCGAGACACATATCAGTGTAAATATTTGCAATCTGAAATTGGCAATGAAGTTCGGTTGCAAACGATAAGTACACAAGCATGCCTATTTTATGTGTTTAAGTTTTTTGTTGTTGTTGTTGTTGTGTTTTTTTAACATACTCATGATTTGCAGGCAAACCCATAACCAAGTTTATTTATTTTTTTTTTTGTTGAGAGGGGAGTGTAGGGAGCTAGTAAATGCTTAGTAGGTTTTGTTTAGCATAAAAAATAGTAAAAAAAAAATGATAGGAGCAGAAGGATAGTCCAAAAAGTATAAATTAATTACCTAAATTATTATATAAATATTTGAAAAAAAAGAATTGTATTAAAATATTTGTTGGAGCATAAATTTGGTGTTCGTTAATAGTTTTATATTTTATTTTCTTCATATTTTTGTATTTATTTTTGTTTTTATATATTTTATTATTTTCATTTTATTTTATTTTTTCGGTTTGTGGTACGGAGCTTGTGGCGGTCGCAAATTCATTTACTCTTTTTGTTGTTTGTTGTTGTTGTTATACCTTGAACAAGTCTTTGTTGCTGGCAGTTTTTTTTTAGTTAATCTCTTTTTACACAAACCTGATTGCCGCCCTGATTATGGCAGGGATAAAGTCCAACTGGTTTCTTCAAATTTTTCTTGCCCGCCGCTGAGTCCAAACATGTGCGACCGCCAAGACCTAGATTTCTCATCTGCAATGTTATGTTTTTTTTTTGGTTTTTGTTTTTTTTTTTGGATGCAAAAAAATTAAGTTAAAATAAATTATTCGGTTAATTACAAATATACACATGTGAATACTGTACAAAGGGAAGAATTTGTTAAAAAATATTTTTTTTTTCTGAAACATTTTTTAATACTTTTTTTCAATTAATATTTTTTTTAAATTATAATATATTTTTCAAATTTTTTCTATTAATTTTGTTAGTTTTCAAGCAGGTTGCATATGTAATTATATATGTTTTTGTTAGTAATGAGCCTATAACTTACCTCACCATGCGCCACCGAATCGCCGGGTATGAAGAGTTCGGGATAGACATTGTCGAGATACCATTTGAAGCTCTGGCAACCGAGATTTCGTCTGAATAACAGAAAAACTTATTTTAAAAGTAATAAAAATTAAAATTTTGTGCTGAAAGTCTTAGCAAATTCTCAGAGTGGAGGAAAAAGAAACGATCCACAAAATGATATGGATGGCTTTATGGACCGAAAAGAAGGAATCACCTCTCAAACTAAGGTAGATCATCAATAAAATACTCGCGTCATTTTTTTTTTAGGCCCTGTGTAAGGTAAGGCCTAACATCCTGCTAATGTAGCTTAACTTAACCTAAAATAATTTCTTACATTTATCAATTTTTTGTACTCACCTCAACGCTCTCCGCGAACTCACATCGCCAAAATCACCCTTATCCTGTCCGATACGTTGATAGTAATACTTCGCATAGTCATCCAACCAGACTTCAGCCAAACGTACAGAATTCTTCTTCAGCACATTAACACCGGAACGCCACTACAGATAACGGCAAATGGATAACGGAAATATATGAAATAAACAAAGAAAAGGAAAATGGAAAATTGAAAAACAATTGAAAAATCTTACAAATTTAATAGACGTGAAGATAAATTGAGTAGTAAATGGTGTAAATGAGTTGCAGATAGAATTAAAACGAGGTTGTAGAAGAGGAAGAGGAAAGAGCAGAAGAATCCGCAGTAGTTAAGTGAAAATAACATGAAAAATGTGTGATTGTTGTTGATTGTGAATGAAAAGCCAAAAGAGAAGTACGAGAAATAACATTGCTGCAATACTAAAATGTACTTTTAAATGAGTGCGAGCATTAGGGTGGTGGATTTCTCTTGTTTTTTGCTGTTTTACTCTAATTTATTTTGCAAGTATTTAATTTTCTGGTTCGGTTTTGAAATTAATTTTGCTTAATATTTTTTTTCTAAATAATAAACTATTCAAGAGTGTAAAAATTATATATTTTCATCATAATTTAAATGTGATAAAAATTAATAAAATTAGGTTTCCACAAAATTTGCTCATTTCGAGAGTTTTGAGCTCAAATTTAATCCATGGATAACGGGTAAAAAAATAAAGAAATATTAGGTTACGTATACGCAGTGTCAAATTGGTAGTATTCTTATTCTATGACCTGAAAAAATATTTTGGACGAGGCAAAAATGTAGTTATGGTCTAGTATCTTCAACCAAAATCAAGAAGCAATTAGCTATTTGCGTAATATTAAGTATTGTATTTATCGAATTGTGCTGCTTTTAGAATTCAAAAAAATTTCTTCAAAATGATTTATGGTTTAATAAACTTTATAACATAATTTTAAAGTAAATTAAGAGCTCTGCATAATTGCCCATCAGAAATTTTTGCCAAGCGCACTAATTTCAAAGTTATTCAAGGTTAAACTGGCATACAATTTTACAAGCAAATTTACAAGTAAAATTTTTCAGTTTCATATACGCAGCTTTCTATCTATAAGCGAATTTCTAGGATGTACTACATGATCTTGAGGAAATTTTTGTTACAAATCGAAAGTTGTTTCGGTTTAAAATTGGCGATAAAATTACAAATAAAATTATTTCAGTCCCATACTAATATATACTGGAGAATTTTGGGAATACTTTTCAGTAAAAGTTAAATAAAAGACTTGAAAAACAATTAATTGATTTATAGAAATTTCAAGTAAAATCACAAATAAAAAACTACTTGTAAAATTTTATTTATTGATTTTCGCTGTTACCTTTTCATTGAATAATTTTCCTTGAAAATGTATTAAAATTCAATAAAGTTAAATTCAAAATAACGGTAAATTAAACGTTCTACAAAATTAGTCTATAAAACTGCTTGCTGAATGCACTACTTTCAAAATTATTCTACCTTGAATATTTTACAAGTATTTTTTTTTTCGTTACGTATACGCAACGCTGTACCCATAATTGCGCTTTGAAAAAAATGACACACTCCAATGTATTTGTGTATGCTCAAAAACACATTATTGTGCTTGAATTCCGGTGGACTTTCTGCCAATTTTCATTTGTACTCCAAGGAATGTAGGGATATACAAGTAGTATGTACATATGTATATGGCTGAAGTCTGTATATGCAATACGCAGGTAGTTACATATATATCTATATAGACATCCAATGCCAAATTATTGTCTCTCCACTGTTGTTGCTGCGTCATGGAAACACTAATTACCTGCTACCGGTTGGTTGGTGAGTTAGAAGACGCTTGAGACGCTGTGGGTTATTCTCTACGCAATTTGCTTGTTTTGAAATAATTTCAAAACCACCTGCATGCCATACACACACATACATACATACACAATTTTACGTGTAATAAAAACACATTTGTTTTGATGGTAGCAACTTCATTTGGGCACACAAACAGGCAGTCAAACCTATGTATGTACATATGTACCTTTACTGGTGAAACTCCCAAGGACCGTAGAAAAAGAAAGAACAAAAAATTAAGGTAAAACCAACAACCCTGTGAAGGGTTAGGTACAGTTGTTTTTTTTTTTTTGTTATTTTTTTTGTTTTTCATTTTTCATTTTACTCCCTAAAGCAAGAACATGATGAGTGTTCTTTCGTGCCGCAAACCACACAGCTGCGATAATTGCGGAAACATGAGCGGAGAGTAGAATGCCTTTGAGGGCATGATAATAACAAAAACAACAACAATGTTTGGTAAAAGGAAGTGATATTGCGAGCAGACATTTTGGTAGAATTTGAGATTAATTTAATTTTTTTTTGTTATTTTGCCTCTGCTCATCAAGTGTCCGTAGCACAGGTACTCTCTCACTGTCTGCTGTGTGTGTGTGTAATAGAAGCTTAAAAGTTAGGAAAGCATATGGAGAAACCTGTTGCGGTTAAATGCAATTCATAGATTTTTGCTACAGTTGTGTATGCATAGACTGGCCATATGTTGGGCTGTAAACGAAGCTAAGCCAATCCATTCAGGTGTCGAGAAGTTTTATTTTTCTCAGAGATTGAGCTTTTCTAATTTTATTGAGTACCCAAAACAACTTTGCATTCCATGTGGAGCTCAGTTTAATTTTAATTTCTCTCACTTTAAGGTCTAGCCTTATACTCTCCGGGTGTTGTTCACTGGGTCTCTTGTAAGTTAAAAGGTCGTCGCGCAGCGTTCAAGAGGATAAAGGCAATGTAGAATATGAATTTTGTAGTATTCAGTAGTCAGTTTCATCATTATTTTCCGAGATTAGTTTTTCCATTTCCATTTCTATTGTAAGAAGCGAGCCAAGAAAAGCATTTTAAGCCTCAAGAACAAAAATTTAAGCTGTTCAAATATTGCAGTAAATTTATTGACATTGCGGCTGAGACAAGACAAAGGAAGGTAAAATCATATTTGTTTTTGCTCTATCAGAAACTGTTCGTACCTGTTTCTTAAGCAGCACTGGATACTGATGATCTGTACTTTCGAACCTCCCTATCTTGGATGGAGGTAAGAAAAAAGTATAGTCTTTTGTGCTTCCGGCTGGTATGAGACAAAACGAAATACGTTTTTCATGAACCAAAATAATGAGAAACAACAACCCCAGGTTAATTCTACTAACTATAAGAGACTGTTCCAAGCGTTCACGGGTTTGTCGGGTGGCTTCAGCTACACTGCAAGTGTCTGAGTGACTGAAACAATCCTTGTGAATATTTGCTCATGATTCCCTAAGTGTGACTTCAAGTCTTTTTGTTTCCACATGAAGGGAAACCAAATTCTTAAACAAAAAAGCGCCAATTATGTGGAGAATAAGCAGAAAACTTTTGAAAAAGTACAGACTAACTTTAGAGTGAGCAGAACTAACGCAAGCGTGTTGCCTTGGAGATTGCAATCGATCCTCTGACACACGATTGTGCGCATGTCAAGGATTGTTTGTGAACAACAACAACGCAGCTTTTGGAGTCAGTTAGGATACTGTAACACTCCTTCGTATACCAAGCAGCAATATTTTTTTTTTTTCTATGATGTTTTTATAAGCTGTATGGAGGGTTTCGAGAATGCTTTGAAAAAATATCAAGCGAATCCATATAAATGAAGTCCATAATGAGTCATTATTCTTTTGTGAACTGAGTGCATGTCTTTCTATCAGTCACTGTCACTGAAACGGCGATGACAATTCGTTAGGCACTGTCCACACTCGCTTTAAAGGCATTATCATCTATGTATTTCAACCAGCCTCGGCCTATCGGAAAACGGCGGAAGCAAAGTTGTACACCTGATAAAAAAACCTTTCTAATTGCGACCACCTCACCAAAGGCACAACCATTGTATCTCTGTTATAAAACAAAAAAACTCGTCTTAGAAAGTCACGAGCAAGTCAGAGGCGGCTTAAAATAAACTGTAGGTTACAGCATTTCTCGGAAAGACAACACGACAAGACAACAACAAACCGGCAACGGATTTTATTCAGTTGCAAAGAGTGTAGAGTGAAGTTCCTCGGTGTACTCAGAGCTCCTCAAATATATGACAGTACCATTTCTTCATTGAAATCCGCAGTAATGCCACTACCGTGTAGCTGCCGTTCCTTGTTGCTGCTTTTGTACTAACAGTTGTTAATGTTAGAACAACAACAAGGGATTCATATGACTAATCGCTTACAACACTTTACTACTTATTTGTCTTACAAATAAATATATATACCAATTAAAGTATATATATTTGTGTTAGTATGTAGTATATATCCTTGCTGTTCTTCTGAGTCGCTTATTGTTCATACGTCAGGTGTTAAATAGTATTATATAAAGTTTCCAGACAAACGGTACATCAACACTTTAGTCACACAGATAGGCGATATTTTTGCTTGTCTCCATATATTTATGTACATACGAGTATGTACATATGCATGTACATATGGGCGAGTATGTCCTTTTGTCCACATAATAGGCAAATGTTTGCTTTGCTGTTTCTCGGTCGGTTTATGTTTATTTATTGCACAATGTCCTTTGGGTGCGCGCCAACAAGCAGTCCAAGTGAGAGTTTGTATGTGCGTGCGTGGCCGGTGCCAGTAAGGCATCCTTTATCGCAAAGCTTCTATTTCACATCATGTATGTGAAACAAAAACTTACACACACACACACACCCACACACACTCAAAGCATATATATGAGCTACATTATATTTATTTTAAGCACAGTTTTAAGTACTTTCTGTGCACTGTTGGCAAGCGTTTTTTGTTGTTTTTGTTGTTGTCTCATTAATATATAAGCACACATTAGGATATCAGGTTTTGTCCTTATGTCCTCATACAATTAATTTTACTCTCGTCATCTTCAGTGTTAATGAACTGTGAGCGAGTTGGGTTGAGTTTGAGTTTAGTGTTGCTTTTGTATTTGCTTACATAACAAATTTTAACATACCTATATATGTATGTAGTGAGCTTCCGTATACGTAATTAAAAATTAAAGATATATGTAAAGTTGGATTTGCTTGACGGGCTGCTCTGCTCAACCGAATGTACTGTTTCTGTATACTCTGAAGTGAGCTAATAGTCCACATGTGGTCTCCTTACAGATGAGGTTAAGATCTCCGAGAATCTTTATTTGCTAAATTCGCATAATTTATCCAAGCTCAGACCATGTAGATCGACTTTGCAACAACTGCGAACCTCATCTAAGCTATTACCTGAAACAGAAGGTAACCCACTGAGCTATGGAGTGACCGGAGAAGAACCGAAAACTGCTTTAAGGACCTCTTGGCGTATTATCTTCTGACAAAAGACAAGTTTGAGGACCAAATTGTGTGCAGTCTAAGCTATTCTGTTCACTCTGCTCAGGTATTGCACTCACTTCTTCGGCATAATTTCTATAAAAATGAAATTTAGACAGAAGGCTCTAAAAGCTTAGCCTACCCTCCGCGTCTTAGTAATGAGTAAGTTAGAAGTTATTAAGACGATCATCAAGCTGAAGATCTAGGAAACGGACTTCACTGGACACTACATGAATGACGAGTATAAAAATAGGGCACATGTTAGGTTAGGTGCCGGTGCGACAGATTTGACTGTTACTTGCTTGTTGGACCAGTTCCGGGTTCATATTGATTCATCGTAAGTTAAGACCGGAACTTAGAATGGTGTGCCCACGTCTCACGTATACCTGGAGATCAATTCCACTTATCTTCTCGTGACAGTACAATTGGCGCTTTATTACCGTTGAAGATCAGCTCAACTCCTCCTAAAATTTGTGTTATGCGTCTTGGCGTGTTTTTTGTCAAAAAAAATTCAGGTTCCTACATTATCTTCCAAGCCGACTCCACACGGCCGATAGATTTTTATGAGCTTTTTGTTTCATGTCAGAAATGCACTCGGAAAGAGGGCTCGACATTCCCGGCGTATATGCGACCGTAATTAGAAAAATGAATTAAGGATGGCAGAGTCAGCCACTCGGATCGCATGAGCGAAAAGTTCCTACGACTGAATTGCTCCCGGAGTAAACCTATTTCAAGACTAATTTACTACTTCCTTCCGAGAAAGGCTCCCCAACGGGTATTTTGACGGCAAAGAGGTCTGTCACATAGGGTCATAGAAAGAAGGTGAAAAATATTCAAAACCTCTCTATAACTAATAGTTTAGTGATTTTGAGCTCTAATATTATCGGAATCTGTATAGCTCAAGAGGTCTCATTAGCCAAGGTTAACTGAAGGTGTGCGCACTCATCTACTGTATGTTGAAGTTATTTACTTTACATCGAATTCTGGCTGGTACTACTTTCGAAAATCTTTTATTTTTAATTAAAAGGTCGATGAAATTCTCTCTTTCTCCCTCTCTCACTCATTTCCTTTAACTACCTCTCTGCACTTACCTTATATGGCGACCGCTTGCGGAATATATGTCCCACATGTGAGCAGGGTATTATTTCCAAAGTACCACCACACATCCACGTCTTAAAGGATAATTCCAAATTTTCACCACCCCAAATATCGAAACCGGAATCGTAGGTACCAAGACGTTCGAAGAATTTACGATCTATTGAGAATAGGCCACCAGCCATGGTGGGCGAGTAGACAGGCTCAGCGGAGTTCTGGAAGAGAGGAATTAAGAAAATTTTATAAAATATTTTAATTACAATATGAAACTATAATTTGATATATCACATAAGTGTAACTTAAAATTTTTTTATATTAAAAAAATAAAGTAAAATATTAAGGTAAATCATATGTAAAGTACAAAATGAAACGATAATAAACAGTGAAAGTGAGAAACCGAACGTAAAAAAACAATGTGAGAATTAAAAACTAAAAGTTAAAAAAGACAAAAGCGAAAAGTAAATATAAAAAATTAAAAACTAAAATTTAAGAAAAGCAAAAGAGAAAAGTAAATATAAAAAAATTAAAAACCAGATTTTAAAAAGGTAAAAGCGCAAAATAAAAACCAAAAGTTAAGGCCAAAAGTAAAAACGAAAAGTAAAACCAAAAAGAAAAAGTAAAAAGTATGAGCAGAAATTGAAAGTAAAATGCAAAATAAGAAGGCCATAAGAAAACTGTCTAAAAACTAAGCTGTAATAAGAACAATTTTATAGAAGCAGTAGATTTTATAGAAGTAGTGAATAGCACAAGTGAAAAGTAAAAGTTGAAAGTGATAGTTAAAAGAAATAGCGAAAAGCCTGTATCAAAAATTACAATTATAAAATTGGTAAAAAAAGAAAGTGCCAAAAGTAAAAGTAAAAGTAAAAGTAAAAAGGCAAAATTCTGAAACTAAGGAAATTAGTGTAGAACCACATAAGAGTAAATAGTACAAAGTTATGGGAAAAAGTGAAAAATAAAAAGTGAAAGCAGAAAGTTTCACTTTTTTGTAGAAAAGCAAAAATACAAATAAGTAATGTCTCATAATAAGTTTCTGATTCGTTTGATTTGATTTTATTTTGTTTGCACATATGTACATATACAAACTTTAAAGAGATTTTTTACTCGTAAACATATTATATATACATTCATACCAATATATACATTTGCTACAAAATTGTAATTTCGTAATTTAGATGACATTCCCTTTATTGCCCCTACATGCAGGAGAGTTGAGTAGCAGGATAACTGCCAAAGTAACTCTGATTTCACTCATATACGATTATGTTGTGAATACACATTGTTGAATACAAGAGACCCTTTCAGCCCTAACTACATGTAACTGTACGCCTGCGTGTGCTTGCGTCTGCTGAGCTTTAAAATAAATTGAATCACATAAGTACATTAAGTTTTTGTAATTGAAACAAAGCAATATAAAGGTTAATTGCACTGACATAAACAGATGAACAGGCAGGCAGGCCAGCAGTCAAACAGCTAGCTGAAGGAAGAGTGCGCTTGAAGGAAATTAGAAAATCTTGAACAGCGTGTATGTGTGCAAAATATTGCTTGTGTTTGACAATTTTCGAGATGTTTGGCTGTGTATGGTTGCTTGAAGTACCCATTTGAGAGTCCATTTATTGCACAGACAGAATTAAATTAGATTATAATTTATTTCTTTTTAACAAATTTGCTTTTAAATTAACTTACCAGAGAATTTTATTTTATCTAACTTAATTTTTTTATTTTATCTTATTTTATCTTATTTTAATTTATTTTGTTTTATTTTATTTTACTTTATTTTTCTTTTTCATTTTATTTAATTTTATTTTATTTTATTTTATTTTATTTTATTTTATTTTATTTTATTTTATTTTATTTTATTTTATTTTATTTTATTTTATTTTATTTTATTTTAATATTTTAAACTTTTCTTCTTTAAATCGAAATTGCTGCCTCAAATTTCACATTTATAATTTGCTAAATTCTTCCGAATTTGCCTTCACGACTTATACAAATAAACGCCGTCGTCTCAGTCAGAGCGTGTAAAAAGTGGCGAATAATGCTGATGGAACTAGGTGCCAGACAAGTGCAGCACTTGACCCAAAATGTCATCTTTTTCAACTGCCCACCATTTTGCACAGCTTACGCTTTTGGCTTTGCCTTTGGTAGTCGTCATCCATGGTCAGTCGTCAGTCTGACAGCTGCATTTCCGTAGCGGATTTCGTTTGTGAGGAAGCGGCAGTCACAAAATTGCGGAGTAGCGAATCAGAGGAAAAAAACAAGACCAGTAAAAATTGCTAACCCAACCAACAGCTATCAACGATGGAAACGTTTATTTGTGCATGAAAAAATGTTGAATATGGTTTTTTATGCTCTTTGTTGCGCAAATCGACAGAAATTCAAATGAAAGGCAGTATTATAAGGGGAAGCTTGTTTTTTTTTTTTTTTGGTTGTTTGGTAGTGGAGAATTGGAAAATGTTTTCATTTTCGCAATTTTCTAGTTAAAACTGTTGTGTCGAAAAAAGGATATGAAAAAATAGATGACTATTTGTCTGACTCAGCTCAGTGTTTACTGCAGCGAAAATTGGTTATGCAAATTTCCTCGTTTATTGACTGCTGCGTCGGGCATGGAAACACTTATTTTTTATTTTGAACAAAGCAAAAAATGAAAAAGGGAAAAGGCAATAGGTTGAGGGAACGGCCGCGCATAGCTCTCGCAGTTATTCAGATACGATTTCTTGAGACCTTAGAGAGTTGAGTATGCAATGGTAAGCCTATTTACGGAGTACGGGTCCAGAAAACATGTACAAGTAATAGATGTAATGAAGGGAGTGGAACAAAAAGTGTAGTAACGCGGATGTAGAAGTCAAACAAAAGGCAGACGACATTTCAGCGGCTTCAAAGTGTTGTCCATCGCAGTCAAATCACTTCCACAGCAGATCGCTTTGTCCAACTACAACCTAAAATCCCGTTGGTGCTTTCTGAATGCCTGCTAATTTTAATTTTTATACGCTCCTCAAAGCAGCCTTAAAAACTAACTTTCAGTACTTTCCCAAAGAGTACGCTTCTGTTTATACACTCTTTAATTTTTTTTTCGCTTCTCTACAAACGATATCACTTTTAGTAACATCCTGCGCCTTTGAAAGCAAATTTTCGATAGAAAAAAATTCTGCTGTATTATCAACCAAAAACAAAAAAATTTCATTGTAAATTAGAAAAAAATCGCAAAATTTTTTTTTATTGCTTATTGCTTTGGCTTTGTTTATTGCCTGTTGCCTTACTCTCTCACACACCACATACAGAGGCACTTTACTCAAACGTCCACTCATTCATTTATTCATGCGATTTAGTGCCTGGGTGGGTGTGTGAATGTGTGTTTATGTACACACATATTAGTTTGCTGTTTTTGTCAGTTTGCAAATTGCTTTACGATTTTGTTACCAACTAGACAAATAGTCGCCCGTCAGCCGGCCAGTCAATCGACACGGTCAACTATTCAGTTACTCAGTGATGCGCCTGCATTACAACTAGTTTTTTAAACTGCATATATGTATGTAATCTTCTAAGGGAATGTTTTAGAAAAAGAGCAGAACAATTTAAATAAAATTAATTTTTTTTTTCATACAAAAAATATTTTTGTTTTTTACAACAATAAAAAAAATCTCTATAAAAATAAAGAAATTTTCTATAAAACTGAAAAGTTTTTTCTATAAAAATGAAAACTTTTTCTGAAAAAATTAAAAAAATTTGTCTAAAATCACAAACTTTTTTCTTCAAAAAAAAATATTTTTTTTTAAATTATTTATACAAAAATTAAGAATTTTCTATAAAACTGAAAAGTGTTTTCTATGAAAATTAAAACAATTTTCTATAAACATAATAAATTTGTCTCTAAAAATACAAATTTTTTTCTAGAAAAAAATAAAATTTTTTTCTAATACAAATTTTTTTTTTTGGAAACTGCATCCGTGTTAAGTCTAGCTCACGCCACAAGTGAAACCAGCTTACAATTCACAATGCCGTACACACGTCGATTGGGTGCTTGGAACAAGAAACAGTGGACGGCGATTTTCCTCACTAGGGGCTAGGTAAATAAGTGACATTTTCGCGGTTGGGGCGCCGAGTAGCCTGACATAATTGAAGAGAGGTCATTAACCTTAAAAAACAAATAACGGTGCGGTGCGCTCTTCATTCTGGAGATGTGATTAGACTTTCTTTGGCTTACAATCGAAGAACACTTCTGGCACAATATGCGGTTTCTACAAGTTGCTACACAATACGAGCGAATGTGGCTTTATTGCGTGAAAATTTTCTCGACCGCGTAACTCCTTGTCTTGGGAATGTCAAATAGCCAGCGAGACTGTGCGATTTGACAACGTTAATCTTTTTTTTCGATTGTGCCACGCGAAAGACCGTGTTTATGCGGATAAACTCTGAACACTTGAGCACCTGAAGGCCACTAATTGTTAAGTTATGGCTATGATACCGCCGAATATCTGTCAAAAAGTGGTGAAACTACACCTACAACTTTATATAAAAAGGAATTACATTTACTTTCGAAAGCGTAAAATGGGTTACACTGTTCAACAAATGGTATGAAAATAATAATAAAGCATAAAAATAATTTTTAAATATAAGCAGGGACAAAAAGTTTCCATGAAGCTTAGATGAATAGAAAAATACAAAATCGATTTTTCCTAAAATCACCATATTTGTTTGCTTTGGTTAAGAAAAAAAACTCATTTTGTTACTTGAACTCCCTCTATAAATAAAAAGAAGTTAACCAAAAATCTGTATCTATTTTGAGGTTGTATGTATGTATGTATTTAGTGAACCATATGTGCATACCTTAGGCAACATATAGTCACTGCAAGTTTAACAATTTTTAGTTTCGAAAGAAAAAAAAGAAATACCCTAAAATAGCCAAAAATACCGTACGTCACTCATTCAATATCTTACTCACTTTATGCATGAATGATTGCATGCCCAATAGCCAACAGCACTCAAATCAGTCAGCCAGCCAGCCAGCTAGGCCGACATATTGGAATGACAGTGTTTATCTCCAACCAGCTTTTCCAGCTGACTGTTGGCCGTTATGATGGAGTGGCTGCAATTCTCATTTAAAACTCGAGCTAGGGAAATGTTGCTTGCCATAAGGAGTTTGAGAATTTTTTCCATGCATTCATTTGCTACCACTTTATTGAGAACCATATGTTTGTCTAATGGCCTTTTCTACGTT